CCCTAGGATTAATTAAGTTTCAGCGATTCATTAAAGTGGGTCATCCAGCTAGTGCAAGAAGATCATTGGGCAATTCCGCCCCTTAACTCGCGCCCCTAAAAACATTAGTCAAGGCGTAGCAAACATAGCGGCGATCTCGGCACCATCCTTTAACGTGACCGGCGAAGATGTCTCCATAGGCGAGTCACAATACTAGGAGTCCCCTTGCTCCACGACTCTTAGAAAGCGCTCTCGAACACCCACCGTACTAAGCATTTGGGCAGAGAGCCGACAACCGAACTGCCACGAGCCCGAGCGCAACAGGCACGGCTAGAAGATTTGGTACTGCAAACGCTGCTCCTACTCTTAAGCTGCCTATAATAGAGTACGAAGCCATCTCCGGGACAAGCACTGCATATGGATTGCTGAACAACAAACAGCTAAGAAGCTTGGCCAAGACATTGCTATCGACAGGCTGTTCAAGCAACAAGCTGCAAGACAAGAAGGCCACGATATTGAACAAGATAGGCACCTTCAAGCTGCTATCCATGAAGAGGCGTACAACTAGGCGTTAGTCAACCTTATTACTGTGCATAGCTTGTTGTATAGCCTTGTTGAGTGGCTAGAATGGTATGCCGTACTTCATACTGTTAATTGCATGGCGCAGGCTATAGTCACGTAGAGCTAGGGGCAAGTCCTGAGGCTTTTGGAGGCTAGCTTTTCGTCCCATCGCGAGGCTCTAGCATGCAATATTGCCGCTTCTGTCACTTAGATACATTTTACTATCGACACCTGGTCCTCTCCTAGTTAGCATGGTCTTCTTGCTATTGTAGCCTACTTCATCAACGACGAGAGTAGGCAGCTACGCAAGGCTTTGCTTGCCCTACGAGAGCTTAAAGGTGCACACAGCGGCGATTCCCTAGCAGAGATCTTTACGGAAGTTATTAATTCATACGGGATGCGCGACAGAATTGGCTACTTTACCTTGGACAATGCATCCAACAATGACACCATGCTGCGCGCTCTCGCTAATACCTTCGGCTTTAACCTAGCTTACCGCTGGCTGCGCTGCCATGGCCATATCATTAACCTAGCCGTGTAGGCATTCTTGTTTGGGAAGAACAAGGATACTTCCGATAAGGCGATGCGTTAGGTGATAATGCTGTCCCGTAGGGAGCATGACGGCGTGGGCAGAAGGGCTGAAATAGCGCAGTCCTAGCGATAACACGGGCCTCTTAGGATGCTGCACAATCTAGTGGTATGGATTCGCTTATCGACGCAACGGTATTAGGCTTTCGTGTAGGCAGCTGGATGTATGATCCTGCAAGACAATTTAACAAGATAGAACTTATAGTACCGTATAATCCATGTTGCTCTTAGCCTTCGAAAGGAGGTCAACAGTTTCATCGATAATAGATACTCCGATAGTGATATTAGACTTGATTATCTTTATCTAGGGTATTAGCAGGAGCTATAGGAGCTACACTCTTTTCTAGAGCCGTTTTACGAAGTAACTAAAGATACTTAGTGGGATAAGTCTTCATTAGATAAAGTGATTTGCTCTATGGACTTTTTTGTTATGCACTATAAGGCTGTTATGAAGCGGTATTAAGGCAATGTCACAATGACTAATCGAATTATGACGAGTTGGTACAAATTCGACGATTACTACACCCGAACCGATGATAGCCCGGTCTATGTAGCTGCCATTCTACTTTACCCTAGCCTCTGGATGGTGCATATGATAGAAGCGTGGAAAGACTAAGCTCAGTATATTGAACCGGCGATCCGAGCTGTGCGTACACTATGGGAAGACTTTAAGCTAGACAAAGAGCCTAAAGTTAAAGAAGACCTATCTGCTTACGAGGCGTATAAGAAACGAATCTATTAGTCCTCCTCTACTCACGATGAGTTCGATCGATTTATTGAGGGGCCCGCTTTGCTAATTGGAGCATCCTCTGCCCTGTCTTGGTGGCTTGAGACTACTTAAAAAACATCGTATCCTTCGCTTTAACTCTTTGCCATAAGTATTTTCTCTATACTAGCGATGTCGGCGGAGGCCGAGAGAGTGTTTAGTGGGGCAAGGCGTACTGTTTCCTGGGATAGAACCCGGATGTCTCCGAAGATGCTGGAATGTATAGAGTGTCTGAAACACTGGATTAGTAACGGCCTTCTTAATCGGCCATTTTCACGTTCAGACCCGTTTGGGATTGAGCTAGATACTAATGAAGCCAAAGTAGT